AAATACTATATGGAACTGTATTTGTTTACAATGTACAAAATTTGGATTTGTAAATGATATGATAATGTTAAATCAAAAAACAAACTGAAAACTTTACCTTTGAAGTCAATGATAATCTTATAGATTTATTCTTGAGGTTGGATAAAAACAGAGAAGTATATGCATTATTTAAAATATACACATCAGACTACTTTTAAGTAATGTTTAAAAATTTAAAATAAGAATATTAATATATATTTTATTTATGTGTATTTATATATATTAATATTCTATATATAGACTATTTTATCAATGTAGGAATGATTTTACAAATGATTAAACCTAAAAACATACTTGAACTCTAATCAAAAACTGAGAGACTATTTTTTTCATGATATTCAAATCCATAATGTACTCGTAAACTGAATAATACTGATGCTAAGAGATAAATTTTTAAGGAGTCCACATCTCAATTTTATTTACAAATTAAACATTCTTCAGGATATTTGCTCCCATCATCAGATTCTACTATTATACAAAATAGATGGCCTACTGAAGATTCTACAATTACTAAAGATGGCCTATCATAGTGGGTCAAAAACACTAATGTTTGTTTAATAAACATTTCTTAGCATCAGGTGTTTGATGATTCATTAAGTACACAAAGAATGAATCAAATGAAATCAAACATTTTTCAGGAATAATATCAAAAAAAAAAAACACTTCATTTGTAAATAAAATTATCTGTGAACTCCTTTAAAATTTGTTTTTTAGCATCTGTATTAATCAGAAACAGAGATTTGATTAAATATACCATTTTCATTGCTCAAACTAGATTTAAATTTGAAAAAACAAACAAGATACAAGACTGAAAGGTCCTTACATAATTAACTCATATTTCTGTAATTTCATTAATTTAAAAATAAAAATATTTTATATTTTTATAAAATAAATTGCATAAAGTAAATTATTTTAAAATTTTTTATTGTACTGTACTGAAGATAAACTTACTCTAAATAGTCATTTTCTAACTTTATATTAAAAATTTATTGGTTTTTATTATTATTTAAAAAAAACATTTACATAAATGATGATACTGAATTTCAAATAGGACAAGAAATAATGCAATAGAAATGAAATAAAGCAGAAAATATATAAAATAAAAGAAAGTGAATATATTTTCTGCATTAAATTTTTACAAACAATTCAGTCAATTATAACTTAGCAACGAAAAACAGACTAGATAAAGAAACATCAAGTCTTATATAGAAAGCATTTAAATTAATATACAAATCAAATATGCATAATCAAGTATTTTTTATATTCTATGACAGTAATTTTTTATATTCTGTTTTTCTCCCTTTTTACAATTCAAACATATGTTTTAGAAGAAAGTAACATTATGATTTAGTTTTCTATTTATATATTAGGAGACCAAAGAATTTATATACAGTCAAATTGATCTTTTTCCAATTATAATACTGTCAAAATTCTTATCTCACATATTTATAATTCAATTCTCTGCATACATATAAAAATATTGTATAATAACTGTATTAAGACCACATTATGTATTCTAAATTAACAAAATCAGTTATTCTATGCCATTATAAAAGTTTTCAGTAATAACTTAGAGTTGATTTTAATGATTGCTTTGGTTTTATTCTGCAGTTTTATTTATTTATGTTGTTATTTTTATCAAATTTTATACATGTTATATGTAGAGTAATGCTAGTCAGTTGAGAAAACCCTTTTTTCATAATTTTGGAAAAAAGGCTGCTAGCCATTAGCAAGTAATCTTTGGAAAGTTTTCAGAAAAGAAAATGTTACATGAAATAATGTAAAAAAAATCGTGCAGTTTCTGGAAGAGAATTCGCCATGCAATTTTTACAGTTTGAATTAGCCATACTATGCCATGTTCAATGAAACTACAGGTTCAAATAGAAGATCCTCCTCATATGTATCTAACATTTATGAATGAAGAAAAGTATTGTTAAGGTAGTATAAATCGTTAGAAATATTGTAAACTCTCTCCGCAAAATAGACCTAGTTTGTAAGATCGATAGTCAGTATCTCCATGAAGATAGGCCTAGATAATATTGTTAATAATTCCATTCATTTGCATTCTCATGTCAATTGTATTTTTAATGATCATTTGTATTTTATTGTAATTATCCATTTATTGTAATTATCCATGATCATTTGTATTTTATTGTAATTATCCATTTAATTTGTTTATAATAAATCTATTGTTATTAGTATCAAATAATCTCCTGCATTTTCCCACTCACTCAACTGTTAACCCTCCTACGATTTATTCAGACGTTGTCACTCAAATGCCAGATATTTATAATTAGAAGTAAACACAGATTAGGGCATGTATTATAAATTTCCTTAACTGGTATCAGGAATCCTGACGGAGGAGACTGTGATTTTTCGATCGTTTAGTCTCCGCATCTTTTATCACTCATAGAAAAGCCATCCTTTTAGACGACCGTGGGCTAATCTCATGATTAGCTGCCGATTAAGCGGTACACAAGTTCTATCAACTTCGTACCCCCGGCTAACCCTCACACTAATATTAATCAGTAAATATTAAAATAAATTTACAGCAAATAACAGCAAATTCTATTATGATTTGAGAAAATTATATCTAAGTATTATATGATAATTTAAATCAACTTTTGTAATGTAATGCAATCATATAAAAATGTTATGAAAAATTTTTCATCAAAACTCAACTTAAAAAATAAATATCCAGCATCTTTGCTGAGTTGTACAATACTATTTTATTGAGTAAAGTGATACTAAATAGAGCAACAAACACTATCAACTGTTTTAGTTATAAGAAAACAAAACAAATATTCTGTTTGTTTTGATATCTAAAACAAGTAAAACGGCAAAACCGTATTTGGGACAAGACTATGTCTCGGAGACGGAATCACTTTGATGTTCAAGGCAGGTCTCATTCTCATTCTCCTATCTTCTTTGATATCGCTGCTTTTGGATATGATCATTCAAACTTTGCCTGCCTCGACCATGAGGTCATCCATGAGCCATTTTTGGTGAATGTTCTGTCAGTAAAAATTTACTAAGAAACTGATAATTTACTTAATTTGTATCGGCAGCGCGCTATTTACAATAGCGTCGATATATAATATAAATCCAAGATCACACAGCTGTCAACTCAAAAGGTAGTAAAAAGATGTCTCTCCTTGTTAGAGTTTAGGAGCAAAGTGAGGTCAAAGGGCAAAGGTCACGTGCAGGCGCTCTCAGTTCTAAGGTCAGAGTAGAGTTCACTTCTTAGAAATGACTGCGGGTGGTACTCTCCCCTACCTGACTTCAGTGGGATGAGGTGGCTATTTGCCTGTTTGTAGAAGAGGGTCACCATTTTGGATTTTATTTTGACTCGATTCTCAGTCCCCGACTACCTACAAGTCTGGATTTTTTATGCACAAATGATTTGAGCACCTAATACTCTGTGCCAAATATCAACTCTCTACATGTACTGTACTCCTTCATACCTCTATTCTGATAATATTGAGTGGCAGTACGATTTTATAAACAAGACATAGTCTTTAATTAAAATGCCTCAATGTCCTTGACTTACTAAAATATAAATTTTCGTCTACAAGTAGATATCTTCTAATATCAGGACTTATTATACTGGCTTTACAGATAATGCTACAGAGTTTCACAGAAAACAATTTTTTATTTTATTTAATATACCTGGACACATACATAATTTTGCATTTTGGACACTTTCATCCCTCCTCAGCAGGTATTTTAGTAGTGTATTCTATATAAATTAAAAACAATAAAATAAATTTTAAAACTACATTTAACATTTACCGACATACTTATTTATATACATTAATAAAATTCTTACAATTTTCAGACTTTTTTTTCGTTTTTAACTCTACTGGACATTCAATTTTAACCAACAAAAACAATTTTACTAAAGAACATTTAAAAAAAATATGATGATCACCTAAAAATTTTTGGAAGCAACTACGTCTTAATTTTTAAAGAACAAAAACAATATTACTGTAAATTTAAGCCTGTATTAACAAATTATTATATTAATGTTTTACATTATATCTGTTTTTTTACATTTATTTACTATTTTTACAACTTACATCTCTTCCTGTTCAATTTGACTAACACCTCGTTTCCACTTCTTTGGATTGTTCTTTTTATCCTTCAGACACGCCCCTTCTATAATTCTTCGCCATGAGTGGTGCATTTCTCTACCGGTATTACTATTTATTCTGTTATTTTGTCTAATTATATTAATATGTTTGTAAAGTTGTATTTTGTAATTATTCTTTTCTTTTTTCCTTATTTTTACTGAATTTAATACTATTTCACAGCCTGTAAAGCCAGTATAATAAGTCCTGATATTAGAAGATATGTACTTGTAGACGAAAATTTATATTTTAAGACATAGTCTTGTTTATAAAGGATATCTATTTTTTTTTGTGATATATTGACTTACAAGCTTTCACTTGTTGCATCATTCACTAGGCAACCAGATGTGAGGTGATCTCTTTGCCATCATTTTATACATTTTTTGTGTTTTATAAGGAATTCACTAGCATTTCCCAATGTGTTTACATGTGGATAAAAATTTCAATTAACACATGAAAATATTTTGTATCATAAATTTGCTGGTTTTGGCATGCACACCTAAAAAGGTTGACCATCCCTGCTCTACATCGAGTGAAAGTATGGCCTACATATATTGCTAACCAGGTGATTTAACAGTTAAAATTTTTTAAATATTTTAGTATAAATTTTAAAACAGTTTTAAAGTATTCATGGATCCTCATTAATGCAGATTAAAACTAATTTTAAAATTTAAAATGAATACATAAAACATGGCATTGGCTTAATTCTTCAATATTAATCATTTTAGATTTATGCAATATACTTTATATACTAATTTTTGAGCATATGTAATTTTAAAAATTTAAGAAACTATATTAACATATTTAATACTAATTAACTAAGTAAGTTACCTCATTTGAAAATTGAATAAGTCTCAGTGGTAGCCACTGAGTACCTAATAATTTATCCCATAGCATTCCTTTATTCCATACTTCTATAATGAGCCCCGTATCCATTCTATTGGTTTCACTATAAAATATAAATTATTAATTATTATTTTAGCATTACAGACTTCCAAAAATAATATCATTAAACGTTAAAGCTTTTCAAATAGAGATAAAAATTCTAATAATAATGGAGATTTAGAAATAAAAAAATTTGGCAGTGAACCTTTCTTTTAGCTGAAGCATTTAATAAATTCAACAATTGAATTTTAGTACTATATGATGAAATTCATCTAGCTTCAAAAAACTTTATAATATAAAAATATTATATAAAATTTTCAGAATAAAACAAGTACAGTATTAGCCAAACATTTATTACGATCCACTTTCAAATTTAATATTTTCCTAACAAAAATTTCTTAAATCATAGTACAAAATTTATATCTAGAAAAATAAATTAATAGCAATATAGAATTTTATATTTCTATTATTAATTCATTGTAAAAAATTCTAAAATAAACAAAATAGTATTAAAGTAAAATTCTTTCAAATTCAGACAATTTCCTAAAAAAAAAAAAAAAAGTTAGTTACATACTAATAACATAATCCAAGTCAAAAATTTTTTCTGAACCCATTAACAAAATTGTAATTTATATCTTACACAGCTAAACATATGAGAAACTAGATAAAGAACCATCCTTTTAATGTTCAACAAAAAATTTTAGAGATAAAAAACTAGCAAAAAATATTAGTTTTAACATAATGATGGCTGCTAAAACTAGTTGAAAACATCTGTTTAATATGTAGCGTTTTCACTACACACTAAAGGTTTCATTTTAAATTATATCCTATATTAAAATGAAACTAAATGAAGAATGATTCTTACACTTTAATTTGATATAAAAGTTAACATATATTATGCATATTTATTTAAATAAATATGCATAAGGCATTGTTATGGCTATTCAGACACTAAGTATAATAAAACAAATATATACAAACAATCCAATAATTTAATTATTCAAACAAACTGCAAGCTTCTTACTACATTAACTTATTTCTGATTATTAAATTTAACACAAGATGACAACTTAATTGTCTACCTCTAGTCAAATTACTGAATTCCTTGATAGTTTACATCCATTACATATATAGCATATATTTGAAATATGGAAAGTTTGTATATTCTATTTACTGTATAATTATTTACAGTGGTACCTCAGGTTACGAATGCCCCAGCATACGAAATTTTCAGGATATGACGTGAAATTCAAACATATTTTTGTTCCACGATACGAACAAAAACTCTCCATACGACGTTACATTAGTTCGCATTTTTCATTTGTTTTTCTTACTACAGTTATTTTTTTTAATGTATTACTTGGCTTTAATTTGACTATGTTTTTCGCGTTGGAACGAATTATTTGGTTTTACATGTAATCGTATGGGAAAAGATGATCCACCTTACGACATTTTCATGATACGATCTCAGTTTCGGAACGGATTAATTTCGTATCCTGAAGTACCACGTTAGTATTCTGTTAGTACATATCTTTTCAATATGATTCTGTACTCCTGTCAAATTGTTTTATTATTGGATTCTTATCAGACTACATAATGAGTAATAAACTATTAAAGAATTAAGCAATTTGGTTAGAGGTAAGCAGTCATCTTCTGTTAAATTTAATAATTAGAAATAAGTTAATGTTGCCTAATAAGAATCTGGCAGTTTATTTTAATAATTAAATTATTAGATTGTTTGCTTATACTTGTTTTATTATATTTTGTTTTGTTTTTGAATAACCAAAACAATGCCTTATGTCTATTACTTATATACTATTTTATTATTATTTAAATTTAAGTTTGAAAATTTATATATATATAAAACAAAAAATATATATAAATTTTCTAACTTAATTATTTAAAACCAAATCACAAACTAGATAACATTATCAGAATCAAATCTTTACTAACAAGTACATTCTAACTTTTTAAAAAGCCAAGAATTAATGTGTAAAAACACCCAATGATGGCCTTCTAAAACAGGCTAAAAATACTTCAAGCTTAAAAGCTTTGTACTGGTTAGTAAAGATTGAATTTTCCAGTAACTGATTCTAATCTGTTTTTATAAAATCAGCAGATAACTGATTTATCCTAGGACAGTTCTTGGAAATAGGATATGGTATAATAGGATCTATATCCTATTATACTTTCTATCCTCTTATACCATATATTATATATACACTTATATTTAATTACCATTCATAATCATTTATTAAGTGTAAAGAAAGTGCCAAATATGATTACTATAATAAATCTGAGAAAATTAAGTACAGTGGGTGATTGGTTAACGAACAGATCGGTTAACAAACAAATTGGATAACAAACATTTTCATGAAAGATTTTTATGATCGGACAACGAACACTTCACTGAACAAACACAAGAAGAAGAGACGTAAAATAACGAATACCAATTGGTCTTCCTTTGTCTTCAGACAACAATTTGAAACTTTTCAGATCACAGGAGATGTCGACATCGACATTCTACCCAGTATAGCCTATACTGATCGAATAGTATTTCCCCAAACTTTGAAACTCTCCCTTGTAATTCCAGCCTTTTATATTTCTGACAGAAACAATTTTTTTATGTTTTCTTCTGAAAATGCGGATTTATGACGATATCTGCTATTAAAGATCTTTTAAAAAAGTGGGAGGATGTCAGAACAACAGTCTTAAAATGGCATCCAAACCAGGTTGAGGTTAATAGGCTTAGGGATCTATACAATTACAATGAGATTAATTACTTCTGAAAAATCCTGAAGAAAAGAGAAAAGCAATCGACATTAGACAGATTCTTTAACCCCCACAAACGGAAAAAACATGATTAATAAAAATGCAAGACCACGTATATATGTATTTTTATTATTACATATGAATAAACGTAGTAAGAAAGTATATATTTTTTATTTTTTTGGGGATCTCCAGAACGAATTAATCAAATTTCCATAGAAACCTATAGTAAATCGATAATCAGTTAACGAACAATTCGAATAGCGAACAAAGTCTTAGAATGGATAATATCACGTACCTTAGAAAAATGGATAATATGGAATGGAATGGAATGGATAATGTTCGTTAACCAATCACCCCCTGTACTATAATATTTTATATTTCAGATTCTTCTGAATTAATTAAAAGAATTAAATTTAGATATTTTTTCATTATTTAACATTAATATATGAAATTAGTTATAAATTCAACACATCTTTACAAATAAACATAACTTACAAAATGAAATCTTGCTCCCAACTCGGATTATTTCCTTTCACAGTAACTGTAGTTGATTTTACATTTTGCAGTTTTAATGTGACATATGTATTGAATTGGCCTATTAAAAAATCTATAAAAAAAAATGTATTGTAAAAGCAACTGTACAGTACAAAGTAATAACTCTAAATAGTACATATATTTTCATGAAATAATTTTATGATTTTAAATTAAATTAATTTTATATAAACAAAAAAAGTTTTAATATTTTAAACTTCAGATATAATAAAACTATTTTTAAAAAATTCAAATATAAGAACTGAACACTTTTGTTTTCTCATAATTATCTCTATAATTAAAAAAGTTGATGGTCAAGACGATAGAAAACACTACCTTATTACAATAAAAAATTTCTGCCTCCTATACCTGAATATGTTTTTGGTAATGTTTATACTAGGAAGTCATTGTTCTCTTCAACAAATAATTAAAACTATATATTTATCAAAGAGAATTAAACATTTATCAAAATGAAACAATAAAGTTCAACCAGACACATCTGAATAAGAGTTCAGCTATGATTGATTACAATATCTTTAAAAAGTTTTAGATGCAAGTCATGTTTTAGATCTGTCTCTGTCCAGATCTGAATTACAGCTTTTGATATGACAAATCTAGTTATTGGTCAATTACTTGTTTAAAAGCAAATAATTGGCTAACTTATTTATATCTATCATTTTTCCTATCATTTAATAATCGTTATTTCTAAGCAAAAATTGCTAAACTCAAATATTAATAATAAATTCTACATTGCAATGCATTGTTATTAAAATTTATAAATATAAGTTTTGACATATTTAATTTACATTAATTTTTAATAAGTGGTACTCATTAATACTCATAGTTCAAATTGTGGTTCAAATTTACATTTATTTCAAAAAAAGTTTTTATGTCCCGAACAACATTGCATCTGGTAACCATTATAGTGCCTGAAGAACTCAGAAGAAGTTAGAAAACATTTACCTTGAAATAGTTTTTTTGTTTTCTTCACACCAGTTATTGGTACTGTGTTCGTCATTTGATTTTTTTCTCTTGATAATGATAATTTTATAAAAAGAAAGATTATTATATTCAAAAATATATTTCTAGTTTGAATTATACATACACACTGCATATAAACAAGATATGCAGTGTGATGCAGATGTTAAACTGTAAACAAAAAGAAAATATGAATAAAGAAGTCCTGTTGTATAAAATACAAAAGATTAAATCAAAAAAGTACCTTAATTGTAGTTCAAAATTTTCTATATAGTTACTCTAATACAGTACAAGTACAATATACAAATACAATATGCATTTTTGTAGATGGTGTAAAGAAAATCAGCATAAAATGAATTCATTTTATTATGGAATAAATAGAAATGTCTCAGGCATCCACAAATGCATATTTTTTTTCAATAAAAGCATATTTGGTACCAAAATTTTAACTAATATAATTTCTGTAACATTATTATTTTGTAAATTTATTCATATCTATATCAAAAATTGACGATGCAAAATTTATACTGCCACTGTGTTCCATATATATATATATAGCAGTGCCACTAGACACAACTTTAGCTTTGCAATGATGGCCTATGGTTGAAAGTTATCCATCTATGATAGGCTAGGCTAAGAATCATGCACCTTTATAGAATTTGAATACAAAGTTGCTTACAAATCTTTTCTTTATTTCTCTGAGAATTTTATAAGGTGCTAAGGCTTCATTTAAACTCCTCCTTAGTCTCCTCCAAAGTCATTTCATTCCCAGTTGAAATTAATCTCAAAAACACTCTTCAATCAATGAGTTGAGTTGACATTAGCAAAGAATTGTTTAGGGCATCAGTAGTTATCTTTAAAACACATTCTGGTTCATCATCATTCATCTCCTCCTCTCCTTGTGTATCTAAATGTGCTCCAAATTTGCTAATTCTTTCTATATAAATATTTGCATTTAACATTTGCAAAAAATATTCTACATATCATAGAAAAAATATTTTAAGAATTTTTTTGATAAATTTGAAACTGTCATTATTGTGAATCACCATAAATCAAACTAGCATAAAGTGAGGGTAACCTGTACTTTTGAGCTAATATGTTCATATTCAAGAGTCTAGCAAATTGAACAATTTCAGAAATTTTAATGTTTGTTAAATGTAAAAGACTAAATATTCATTTTTAATAAACCAAAAATGATTTCTATAAAGTCTCAGTTTTTCATATTTTAATTATTTACAACTTACAATCATATTTAACAATTAAAAAGAAGAACTTACTTGTCTAATTATTAGATTAAAAAATACATACCTATTGTACCCTTATACTTTGCACTCCTCACTATAAAATAAAATGATTTAAAGTTATAATATAACTTTATAAATGTAATATAATAATTTTTATAATGAATAAATTTTATAACAAATTAATATTTTTATATAAAAGAAATATATAAACTTATGCATTCTGATCAATAAGGTTCACATAAATTTATTAATATTGAATGCTGTTGCTCATCAGTACACTTTAATGATCTATAAAATAATGTAATATGGGGTAGTGCTTACAACAATATAAATATTTAATACTGAATATATATATATTCAGTATTATATATATATATATATANTTACTTAATATTTTATTCTTTTAATAAGGGTTTAAATTACCAATATTCCTGTTTGCAAAGTCCTGGTTGGAAAAATGAAGTTTTACTAAGCATCATATTTAATACTGAGAATATATATATATTCAGTATTAAATATGATGCTTAGTAAAACTTCATTTTTCCAACCAGGACTTTGCAAACAGGAATATTGGTAATTTAAACCCTTATTAAAAGAATAAAATATTAAGTAAAAAATAGCATATTTATTTCATACCCATTTAGTTTCTCCTTAGTCTACTGTATTGTGTTACTCTATACACGTATGGTACATTGTAAAAATTAATAAACTATTTTATGAAACAAATAGATTTTTAAATCATGCTCTTTTAAAAGACCTGCACATGAACCTACTTTCTATCCATTAGTATATTTTTGCTTTATACTTTAATAAATTTCCTATTCGTAACTAAATGAATTATGAAAATAAAGATAATAAACACTTAAATATAATAATTCCTAATTATTGTTATAATCTTTAAATTAGATATAAAAACAAACTTTTATTTTCTATTAACTTTAAATAATATATAATGAGAATTTTACAATAAATTCTTATAAAAGTTTTGAATTTAATTTTTAAAAAATCTTAATTTAGAATTTAATACAGTGCTGTGGAGTTGGAGTTGTGGAGTTTTAGTTGAAGTCGTCAAAAAACCTCAGACTTCGACTCCTTTTTACTTCCTGACTAGTTATATATATATATATAAAACGGAAAAGTATTGGAATTGTGTCAAGTTTTACCCTCCAAGTTTTTTGCAAATCTACACATTTGGATTTTCCGGAAAAATGTCAATTAAAGAGAAAAAATTCACACATGTGCGCGCATGTATGTGTTAGCATCTAATTTGTTTAATTTTTTATTCTCTGTTTTCAGATATAAAACAATATCTCAGAATGGATAAAGTTTAAGAAACAAAATTTGGCACTGTAGCTTGTTTATAAAGGAGCATTAATGCTATTAAATTTTGATTCTTAATTAAAAGGTTGACAGGGTGGAGACAGAGGGGTCATGTGTCATATTTCCAGTGCAGTCAAACTTAATGAATATTTTACTCGTTATTAGCATTCACAATTATTTTGTTTTAAATAAAACTCATCTCTACTCTTAATATTAAGCTTTTTGTCATTTTATAATAGTATAGTAAAACCCATTAAGATGTTCTCACCTAAGATGTTAGAATATGTATGAGGCACAATTTAGTTCAGCCACTTTGAAGTTTAATAACTCCTGTGTTAAATCATTTGACTCCGATTTAAAAACCATGGAAGTTATTAGGTTTCAAACAGAGTGAACAAAATTGTCTTCCGCACACACTGTCTAACATCCATACATAAAGGAAAAAAAACCAAATCTTTTGCATATCTCAGCATTTCAAGGTGTCCTGAGTCCAAAAATGTAAAAATTTCAGGGGAGTCATTTTTTGACTGATTACTACATTTTCCCTCTGTTATATATAACAGCCAGGAAAGTAAAAATTATCAAATACATAATTATATATTGACTGTCCCTTTACTTAGAGAAGTCTTTTAGCTTTGAAATGAAGAAGTTTCTACATTCTATCTTTATTAGAACTCTATTTATTGAATATTTTATTCTAAGGTCATGTGACGACATCAGAATTTCCGGGTCTATTTTGGTAACAAGTCCGCCCCTGGTCAGAGTCAAATGATAAGGCAAAGTTGGAGTTGGTAGATTTTTACACGACTCCATAGCCCTGATTTAATATATTTTTAGTCATCTTGTTTTCAAAGATACAGGTCCCACCACTATCCAAAAGTAGAGCATTCCTGTGAGACCTTTCATAAACTTAAATGGTGTAAAACAAAGAAGCAATTACAATTAATTTATATAGAAAAATTTTTAAGCATACCCAAATTCAAAAATTAACTTACTAAATCATACCAAATAACACACAAAATAATACTAACAGATAGTTAAAGCAGAAATGATATGATATATACACAGCCTATACAAAGTCGACATGTAGGTACAGCATAGTATTGAGCAAACCATTCATGACTACCTTTAAAGTCAACTTTTGCAATATTATATAATTAACTATAGCTACACATGAATACAATAAACCAGTAAAAATAAATATAATAAAACAAAAACAAATCTTTTCTTCCATTTAAAACTGGTCATCCTCAAGTTTGAAGAAAGCAGATATAAATGAATATGCTTTTTAAAAATAAAACAATTATTATTTTGCAATATTTTCATTACCAAGTTCATTCTTTCAGTTTCAGGTTATTGAAAAGACTGGCTGATTTCTTAAGTAGAGATAATGCAACAGAATGCCATACTTTGTACACACATCAATCCACTCAAACAATAGACTTTCTGCTTTTATTTTATTTTTGCTAATGGATGCACAAAATAAATTGACATACGGAACAGATGCTAACAAACAAGAATTCAAAGCTAAGGCAGCTTGATGTTAAATGTGGTTCTCAGGGAAGGAGTTTAGAGATGTCTCTTGCTGTTCACTGCTTGGGAGTGTATAGTATCTCTAAAACAACTTACTGCAAAACAAATGCTAAATACTATTTTTGCTTTCACCTTTCTTCATAAAAGCAAAAATCCTCTTTAGATTTCTTTCAAAAAGAGAAACAAGTATTAACACAGGTCTTTTGTAAAATCAAAGAAGCAAAAACAAATTTTTATAAAGCAGAAGATACCTTTATTTATAAAAATATTTTACTGTATATTGAACACTGTTTTTATGTATAAAATACAATTATTGGATAACAAATTCAAATTATTAATTTTTTGAATTTATAAGTTAAATGACAATAACTATCTACCAATATAATAAATATAACCAACACAATAATTATTTTAAATATCAAATGAAGAGCCAGATTCTTTTAATTAGGCTATTAAGGCTAAATAATTACTAAGTAATTTGACAAGAGGTAGGCAATTAGACTGCCATCTCTTGTTATATTTAATAATTATAAATACAGTAGAGCGTCGTTTATCCGAAGGTCGGTTATCCGAAGGAATTCCAGTCGACGAATTTAAATTTTCACCAGTGCTGTGGCGCTTCAATGTTTGTCTATGTCTTGGGCTACTCAAATATTTTACGTTTTTGATACTAAATTAACTTCTGAAGTATAATTTTTTATTGTTTTTATATTTTTCAATATATTTATTTTGTTTGTACAAAATAAAAAAATAATTTTTTTACGATACAATAGTCTTCGTTATGCTTAACATCGACGAAAATTCAACACGAAGCGACATGCAACAGAGAAAAATTTCAACACGGGATAAATTAATATATTTTTTCATACATAATTGGTTATCCGAAAAATAAGTTATCCAAACAACCCCAGTCCCCAATTGAGTCAAATAAACGACGCTCTACTGTAAATTTAATTTAATTTTAGATTACTTTGGAAGAAGAGGCCTGGAGTGGGCCTCAAACCCACAACTCCTGCTTACTGTATAGATGTGTTGCCAGTTACACCACCTGAACCACTGTCCAATTTCCCTTCCAGCTCAATCCAATTAATTGGCTTGGAAGCAGGATTGGATGAAGGTCTGGATAACATAACTGGCAACACATCTGTACAGTAAGCAGGAGTTGTGGTTTTGAGGCCCACTCCAGGCCTCTTCTTCCAAAGTAATCTAAAATTAAATTACATTTATTTGTAATTATTAAATTCAACAAGAAATGGTGGTATAACTGCTACCAAATAGTTATTGTAAATAATTATTAAGTTATCTTTTGATGAGTAGTAAAGCAATTTAAATTTAATTTAATGGATTATATTATGAATGGTTAAATTTATATAATTAATTTTGATAAAAGAATTTATACCAATATACAATCTGTAATAAGGAAATTAATTAACTTCTTAAATGAAATTCTATTATTTGGTGTTATTAAGTTTTACTCCAAGAAATTTCAAACCTAAATCTAGAAGCAATTAATTTCTCTCCTTTCATTATTAAATATAGTATATTTACAAATTTCCATAAATACTTTTACATTGTAATAATAATGATGAGATAATGTGAGAATTATATTTGAAATCAATTAGCACAAGAATAAATGAATAGTTTCATGTGTGAACAATTTTTTTTCTTAATTCTTTTCTATTAGACAAAGAAAAGTCAACTGAGAAAAGTAAAAAATAAACTGTTCTAATTCTGACTAAAGTAAAAACTAAACCTAAATAGTTCTGATTTAATAATGACTTGTTTCCTCACCATCATTCAAAATGCCTACAATCAATCATTATTATTTACAAAATCACAACTAAAATCAATAACTAATTGTAGCTTTGCTTTCAAAGTCAGAAAAATCTATCAAAAGCTTAAAATATTTTCAAAATTTTATATAGATTAAAAACATTTAATTTCTTAATAAATTCTTAACTAAAAAACAGTTCTTCATTAATTTATAATCAATAATTAGCATTCTCAATAAAAATAAAGCAATATAATAATACAAATGTACAGTATATCCATATTATGAAATCTTTCTACTTTTCTACTTAATTTATGAATAACTGAATTCAGTAACTAATTGTAGTATTTATGATGGTAAAGCAAAAATCTAGAATATGAATTATGAGTTATCGTATGAATTAATTCACTTTTAAGAGATAAAACTCTTGCTACATTCANTTAAAATAAACAAGAATTTAAAAAGTTTAT